GCAGCAGGGTCTTCTTACCTATTTACGATGCTGCTTAGTGAGAAAAAACGTAAGTTTAAAAATCAGCTTCCAATATGTTAAAATTTGGTATTAAACATTACTGCTTTACAGTACAAGAATTTCATCATCATACTTCAAAATAGTAATTTTAACTTCTGTGGAAAATTTTCATTTATGTCCAAATTAATTTATAAAAGTTTGCATCATTTAAAAAAGGAAAACATCAAAAGAATTTGGTCTCAATGAAAATCTGCTGAAAAGAAAGTTACAGCTGCATTAACCTCTCCATAGACTATTAAATGCCTCAACAACTCAATGAATAGTTTATAAAAATATATTTTTACATTTTACTGGGGAACAGAGGTAGACAAAAGGAAAATATCAGTTTGAGTGTAATGTCGCACTTCAGAACAACATATTTGCATGGAAAAAAACAGCTTTTATTTTCTTAGGAATCCTAGTTAATAGGAAAGCCAGAAAAGCATTTGGTCTCAGTCTCTGTCGGTGCTCTACTTCACTGTGAAGTCGAGAGGAAAAAGGTGAAAAGATTAATATCACATTTGACTTTTGAAGCAAGCCAATCAAATTCGTACATCAATTGGAGAGAGGAAGGTTACTGCACATAGAATGAGTCTTTATTTTTCAAAGTCGTTTTTCAAACACTAACACTAACCTTATTTTCTTATATCTGATACCATGATAAGGCTTCATAGAACTGTACAATATTTATACATTTGTCCACAGTTTCCCTATATCCTTGCAATTCCACTGTAAAACAGGTGATTTAACTGCGTAGAGTGTTACAGGACTAGGCTCTCTTAAAACAAAAAAAACAATAAAAAGAAAAAGCTAACAAAACACAACAGTCTAGCAAGATCTAAAGCCTGGAGTTTAGAAGCTGGAAGAAAAGGAGCACTGAAAGCAACACCCACCCCACTACACGACACTCTTCATACGCCCAAACCTTCACCCCTCAAAGGTCTGTGGTGCTTATTACCAATAAAAATAACGAAGGCAGAACCAACACAACCTCAAGATACAATCTGAATATTCCACTACGTGCAGCGATGCACCCGGCAGAATTTCAGATTCCCTCAACGCCTTTTTTTGCTGAAACAGACAATTTGCATGCTTGCAAAGATGAGAAAAATGGTCTTTCTTAGCTGGCAATACGGCTCTTGTTGTAATGCACCTCAAAATTGGGAATTTGTCGTGCCAGCTTACAATGAGCCCCCCAGACTTTTAAACCCAGAATTCAAATATCACCGCTGTTTTAAGACCACATATTTTGTCACCAAAAGACATAATTTGTAACTACGGGGGCAAGTGTTAACTCAGAAGCTCTGACTGGTGTTAGCTACCCATACATATTGATTATATATTAAAAAAAGCCTTCAACAAGTTTAGAGTACTGTATAGACTTCTGGAAAAAAGCCACAGATGATAATCTCTGAGCACAAAGTTTGAAAACACCGATTCAGAGCTTTCCGAATGCTTCAGGATGGAAATAACAAGAATCAGCATTTATGGTTTCTTGCAATCCACTATGAATTTAAAAAATTCAAAAGATCCTTCTTACAAATGTGCACTAGTAACAACCCACGTAAGCAGCGTGCTATGAATTTAGCACTGATATTTTAATTGCTTAGTGCCCAAGTCTGTATTCTTCTTGCTTAGTGCCTAAGTCTGTATTCTTCAATCCTTAGGCATCAAAATAATGGGATTCGAAATGAGGAATGACTATGCCCAAAACAGCTCCCTTAAAGTTATTTTTGAAAGCCTGCCACTTATTAAGATATCTAAAGTTAGAATGTCTTCTCAATCCTTGCTTTTGGAAATATTTCTAAGAGGGTTAGCATTTGCTTTTTTCCATAGAAAAGAGTATTATTTGAAAGCGTATTTTCAAGTATTCTAACTTTTGCACAACAAATTGTAGTTCAAGTTGCCAAAAGCCTTGAAATTTTATGAAATATGGGAGATCCTCCACTTCAAAGAGCACGTAAGGCTAAACTAAAATGTTGAAGAGAACTCACCTCATCATCTAACAAAGTTAAATAAAAATGTTTACGCTAATATTAAAGCTATAACTAAACAAAGCAAACACATCAATCAAAAGCCTATTTTGCATACCTAGCGCATACAGACCACGAGAATTTAATTCACTATGGCCCAGAACGTGTGTGCTCATGCATTTCTAGTCTCCTTGACATCATTCCAGCCTCAACAGAAGATCTAAGCCTCAAGAGAAGATCTAAACAGGGGAAGAAAAAAAGAATTTACTGAATGCTGTGATTTAATAATCTACCTTCACTCAGTTCGCCTTATCTTGGCTACAGCAACCTTGTTTGTTTTCCACCTCCTTCAAGTTTGCAACTTGGTACTGCTCTTATCATTTCCCACGTAAAGCACAGCAACATATCCAATGCCTTCACCCTTTATGCATCACAGCATCTGTTCCATAAAACGAATCAAAGTACTCAGGACAAGAACCATTTTTTTCCACGTAAAGCACAGCAATATATCCAATGCCTTCACCTTTTATGCATCACGGCATCTATTCCATAAAATGAATCAAAGTACTCAGGACAAGAACCATTTTTGAGGATGAGATACCAGGTTCGAAAGGGTACAGGAAAATTAACAGGGAAATCCACAAATCCTGTAATAGCTTTGCATTATTTAAGTTACGTATAGTTACAGAAACTTAAGGGTTGGAACGTATTTCACACTTACATAATGAAACACTGACACACAGAGTTAGAACAAAAGAAGCCTGATGGGTTTTACTGCATTCTTGGCAACTTGAGTTACTTTACCTGAACAGCCAATTAATACAAACTTTTAGATTCTCATTAAATACTGCTTTTAATGAAAACTTCAAAGCACACAGTTGATGACATTCTAATATGCATATATTCATATGAACATTGTCTGCAGTCACCCTGAAGAAAGGGATCAACTCAAACATCACCCTAAAACCCACGCTTTCGTAAAGCATCAAAGGTGTTATGTATCTGCTTCCCCATCGCTGCCTGCAAGGCTGCTGTCTGTAGATGGAGCACCATCTTCATTAACGCCCTCACCATTATTCTCCCTCTTATGGGCTTCATCATTTACATCCTTAGAGGTGTCATTAACGTTGGCAGGTTGTCTGCCTTCAGGCAGTTTAACGCTACTTGTTGCGGCATCCGAATCCGATGTCGGTTGCTGCTCCTTTGCATCAGGATCCTCTAGAAACGATCCCCACACCTTGAGCCTTTCTTCCCTTTCTCTTGCAGTCTCCTCCACCTATTAAAGATACATTTATACACATCATTACAGTCATACTGGAAAAAAATGAATATTTGGACAGATAGAACCATACAAATGTTTATATTGCAGTAATATCTCAAGACTTCAACAGGCCCTGTTGAGTGTGGACTAATGATCTGTACATCCAGTGACTAATCCTCTAAGTTGACAACTCCAACACACAATTTTTAACATCCTTTTTAACAAGCAGGTCCTTTTCATTTTTGCTAAATTGAATAATTAAGTATGATATCTTTTTTTTTTTTTTTGAAACATCCTTGCAGTTTTTGACAAGAAGCAAGATGGGGCGGGGGCGGGAAGGGGATGGGAAGACCAAGCATTTCTCAAATTAAAACAGATTTTCAGTTTGGAAGAAACATTTGATGAAACAGACCATGAAAGGCTACCTGATAATCGGTGACTCCATCCCACGTTTCAGCACTGAGCTGGCGGCCACCAAACCACCTCCCATTTAGAGTTAGTTTGCAAAGATCAGCTTCTGTTGCTTCTTTAAATGACACAGAAGCCACACCATCAGGATGTCGCTGTAAGGAGAGACAGCTTATGCTTAATAGTTTTCTAAATAGTGTATTTATTCCACCATCTTTTAGACTGTCTTACAAAAATCCATCAGGATATAGCTCCATCCTGATCATACACAATCGGGTTTGAAAAATTCAATTTGCAAGGTTACACATTTTGTTCTACTGGTACACAGAACAGACTTTTTGAACACAGAAAACAAATGTTTCAGCTAGTTTAGCTATAAATAAATGTGTTTATAAACTTTCAAACTTGTGATGTGTATCTAAGTTATTAGTAAGAGTTAAGAGTTTGCCTTCGCATAGACTAAGTAGATAGGGGCTTATAAATTAATTCCCAAACCAGCTAATTTTAAAATAGTGGAAGATTAAGTCAAGTTTCCATAAAATAAACACACAAACCCAAATAAACGCTCCACTCATGTTTAAAGAATCCTAAATGTTTTGCCTATTTGCACATTACATCAATTCTGCCAACACAACCTGTACAGAATACCTACATCAAATATGAGAACCTTCTTTACTTGACCAAACTTTTCACACTCCGTCCGCAGATCTTCTCTGATCTCATTTAGCACTAAGGGATCCTCCTGCAACCCAATCACACAGATTAGATTAAACAGAAGCACTTTCTTCTCAGCTTTGTTTTTGCCCCATCACCAATGGAATACATCTGCCAATCTATTAAAAGTTCATAAATTAGATGTTGTTATGCTGCACTTTCAAAGCCACTTGGGAGCTGACAGACAGCCCTTATTTGAATTTAATAAATGATACTTTTATTAATAAGGCTTTTGTGCTGGCTGCTCATTTACCAGTGGAACACATCTGCCAATGTATTAAAAGTTCATAAATTAAGTGTTGTTACGCTGCACTTTCAAAGCCACTTAGGAGCTGACAGACAGCCTTTATTTGAATTTAATAAATACTTTATTAATAAGGCTTTTGTGCTGGCTGCTCCATTCTAAAAGTTACTGCCGACTCCTCTTTCCATCCCAAAAAGGAACACAGTGAAAAAGGCCAATTTGAAAAGTATGTAACTTTGTCTTGTTTTCTTTGGAAATAGATGAACGAATTTTAAACAGATGCTTGGCACAGGAAAAAAAACATCCTACTCAAATATTCTCATCTACCCACAATTTTGCTAAGACAAAAGCTCAGACAATGCTACTGATAACAGCACAATCTACAGTAGCCAACTGCACACACCTACCTCAAAGTCCTTTGGGTGAAACATATTCCTGATAATAACGATGCGCTCATGTCGCATTCGAGTTGCGCCGTCTTTCTTCTCAGGCCTCCAATCCAGCTGTCTAATGAAATGAAGCAACAGTAAGAAGATATTGTTGCGGCTCTCTTCAGTTTCTACAAGTATTTGTTGAAAAAAAATCATTAATTTGGCATTTCTTGCAATACATCAACTAAAACACGTATTTTGACACAAAGACTTAAGTTACTCTTCTAAAAAACGCAATCATCATCCAGTTTTACCACTTCTACAAAGCAATTGAGGTTTCAAGGTACTAAAATGTTCATAGAGGGACTATAAATAATATTAAGAATCAAAACATTTTCTTAAACACTGAAAAAAATCTGTTGAGGTTTCAAGGTACTAAAATGCTCATAGAGGGACTATAATATTAAGAATAAAAACATTTTCTTAAACACTGAAAAAAATCTACTTCCTTTTTAATTATCAACTCAGATAGAGGATCCAGTTGCTGCCAAGTATGATAAAAAAGTCAGTATTTCGCAATTTTTTCCTGACTTACTTTGTAAAAAAAGGAGATCCACCATTCCCTTTGGGAAAATTTAACTGCTTTTATTTAAACAAAGATGTAAGAACACCTTCAGTCTCACACAAACATTGCAGCAGGATGTATTTTGTTCCACAACGTACAGAGCTACAGCCACAAACTAGCAATGTAACTCAGGGCATATCTTCTATGACTTCTGGTAGAAATCCCTACTTCATATTCTATTGCAGTAAAAAGACACATTCACTTACACTTCTAAACCTCAAAACCTTATATTTGGGAGGAAAAATAAATAAATCATGTTAAGCTCCTTCTTGTATCTGCTACTTCAGCTGAAGAAAACTTGGATTTCCAATGAAGGCAGTAGCAGGTAAATTCTGCTCTTCAACTCCAAAAGGAAAAGCAACTGAAGTCAGTTTATTCACACAAACTGCTGTCAAATGGAAGTTCATTATTTTCATACCCCTCTCTCTCCACCCAGGAGATGACTTACAGCAAGAACTAGCCATGTATCTCTGAGACAGACACGTTTCAAGCTGCTTTTATTTTTAATTGATAAGATGCCAAATAGACTTTTTTCCCTTTAACTCTGGCACAATACTTTTTTGCAACACTATTTAAAATGTTTAGTGGAATGCTGCTTTCGTTAAAATATTAAGAGTCCTACATACTTAAACTTTTTTTGTTCTTTAATCCATGTCTTCTTGGTTCCGAAAAGCAGAAAAAAAGTTTTTAAGTGACAAAAGCAATGAATGTAGGTACAATTAAAAAATTAGCGTATCTCAGACCAGAGAGAGAGAGGTCTGGGGGAATTTACAGAGATATTTAGTATTTGCTGCTATAGAAGTCAGCACACCTTGCCCTTTGCAGCAAATAAACTATGGTACAAACACTATGTGGACAGCCAGAGTGTTATTATTTTTAAAAAGTAAGCCTAGACATGGTGACAGGACTTGCACACTCACATACTGAGAAATAAAGTGTCTTTTATCTCCTCAGAGTTGCAATATTTTCTTCTATAACTGAAAGGACCTTGGCTCCCTATGTATTATTTTAATGTGTCAATCACAAAGAAGTTCATTAAGTCAACATTTAATTTAGAAGTTCCTTCCCTCCAAGCATGTGATATTTAAGCAATTTCACTGTCAGGTAAGACTTCAATTTTTTTACATAACTCATAGCACTGTATTTGAAAGCAGCGCTTTACTAATAGCACTTAGAATTCAAGCAGTATTTTACTGAAATAAAAAATACCAACTTCTGCTGTTGAGACAACTTCTTCTTGTAGTCTTTACACTTCTTCTTCTTTTTGCTTGCATCATACTCCCCCTTCAGTTGAAACTTTGCAACTTCAACATGCAATTTATAGCCTCTGATTTCTGCTTCGTCCAGAAGTCTCAATGCAAGTTGAACTGATTCTCTCTATTCAAAGATAAAACAGATCACAAGCTTTAAAACACATGGCGCCGTCAAATAATTCCAGTAACATTTAATTAACAATTTTGTGCCAAGCACCAATTTGCTGTCACTGAAAACCATATTGTCAACTCTCTTGAGAAAGCGTTGCCAACTCTGAGTTTCTCAAACCCCAGGATTTCTTCACGGCAGTGGATTAATGCTCCCCAAAGCAACTGCACACGTTTCATTCAATATGTCACAAAACCTGATTTGCAATCATCAAGCCATCTGATGGACTCACCAGGGAGACCAAAAAAATGTCAGGGGGCTGATTTTCTAGCAAGTTTGTATCACTTTTAGAAGAACAGCACTCTGAGGCTCCAACATAACTTTTAACGTTTTCCTAGAAGTCCTTTAGAGCACAGAGTGTCTCTATACTTGTGCACTAAACAGCCCTAACTACTAAAATGACAAAACTAGCACAGACTACAAGGAAGTTGATTTATTACTGCCCGGTGCTTCTTGCAGAATTAAAGCAGATTGTACTTGTAGCCTTTCCAAATGCTTCACAAGTGAGACTCATGCAAGAAATAGTATTGCAGCCTGAACTTTTATAGGCTAATACAGAATGCAAGAACAGTTCTGAACCTCACCAGTTCTCAACTAAACACTGTAAATACAGGACTATGGTATGTTCCTTCCTGTCTTCTTATTTTTGTATTCTTGGCCACACAGTGGCATACTTTCAAAGTAAAATGTGAAGAGGTCCCCAATTTCACCCCATAATCACTGATACCCCAGACAGTAACATGTAGGGACGTGTTCAGCAGGTATTATGGATATTTTCAGGGGGAGGGTGCAGGTGGATAAGAAGAAACTAATGAGGTGCACAACTAGATAAATCAGCAGTTCTGCAATAAATCAGACACCTCCACTTTAAATTATACTTCAGATATTTCAAGAATCTTCTGAATGTGATTCTGACTCAGTGGCCACAAGCACCTTCAATGGGAAGGAAAACTGCATTTCAGTGCCCCACTCACCTTTAGATAGCAACAGAGGCCATCACCTTTAAGATTTCCTTCCTTGTCTTTGTACAGCTTGATTTTGTGTTCTTCTGTCTGAGGATCCCGCATAATGATACCACATTTTGACATGACTTGTACAAATTCATCTTTAGTAATATCTGGAGGTAAACCTGCAAAATAAATTAAACCAGAATGCTTGAGTAAGTTCAGATTTCTTTTAGAACCTCATCAGAACAAAAACCCCACAGTGTTTATTTAAATGAACTGTGTCAAATGTAAAGACAAAATTTTACATATACAGTAAGAAACCACCACTGCTTTGGGACCAATATTTTTGATATTACCTTTTAAACATTACTTTATACCAGTATTTTGAAAATCCTTTTACTTTTTTGGAGGTGTAACATACAGCAACACCTTTGTGCACCCTAATATGCAGAGCTAGAGCCTTAGTGTTATACCTGATACCGACACTGCAGCAGCCACACTGGTGTATACAAACTTAACTGTCCTGCCCAAGCTTTAAGTTCCACCCCACCTCTAGGGATGGGAGACAAAAAAAACCACAAACCCACCCAACCTATAAACAGACAACTATTTTCTCCACCCACAAATGAGACAGAAAAAGCAACTGATAATGTATGGAGTTTTCCGAGTCTGAACTTTGAATTGAGGACAAGAAAAAAAAACCCCAAAAACGGAGGGAGAAAATTATGGGACTGTTTGTGCTAGTCTGGCCTGGATGAAGACTTCTGAGAATTCAAGTGTGTGCATTTCTGTGACTGCTCAGGACCACCAAATGTACCTTTGTGTATGCACCTAAAGATAGCACCCCAATGTCCAAAACAGGTAGAGAAATTCCATAATAAACATACAAGTAGTTTCATTTGAGCTTCCGTTACTCGTTTACTCAGTTCTAGCTTTTTTTTGGTTCTTACTGTTTCCTTCTCATCCAGTAATTTAATTTATTTACAACATCAAAGAAAAATTAAAGATTAAAACATTAAATGATATGTATAGTGAATACTCCTTAGGAGTTTGCAAAGTTTATTTTTTCTTGGTTGTAGCTTACTTAAAAAATAATAATTAGTGACTTGGCTGACACAGCTCACAGAATATCACATTTAAAAGAGAAAAGCATGGAGAATGTCCCCTATATTACTTTCCACATCTGCAATTTAAAGGTCACAAAGACATTATGCAGTCAGGAACATAACTGAATATCACATTTAAAAGATAAAAGCATGGAGTATGTCCCCTATATTACTTTCCCACATCTGCAATTTAAAGGTCACAAAGACATTATGCAGTCAGGAACATAACATTAAGTAGCTTGCAAGTGGCAGACCGAATAGGTAATATTAGAAGTCAGTGAGACATATACGAGTTTCTTTTACCATCCTGAGCTTAAAGCAGGTAAATAAATGCTACTACTTACCAGTCACATAAACATTTGTATTTCTGTCTTCTTCAACATGAAACCACCCTAAAAATAGAGTTTCAATTCAGTTATGTAATATATTAAGCATACACTAACGTTCACATTCCATCAGATTTCTAAGTTTTCTTGCCCAGAGGAAAAGTTCTGAACACGCCTTAATTTGCCTTTTTTCCACCTTGTAGATGTACTTAGGAGGATACCTATGAAGCACCAAACAATTTAAAAATCATTCTGGAAATATTCAGAACCTAGATCTTTGCTGTACACGGTAACACTGAACAGTTGTCAGGTTCCACTCAGTACCATGCAGGTTGCAGCCTACACAGAGCAAAACCCTTTGGCACTTACCTGGCTCAAGCTTCCGTTTTTCTGCTTTTTGCTTTGGATCTGTTTGTTTTGGTCCTTTCTCGTTTGCTGACGGTTGTGTTCCTGATGTCTTAGAACCTACTGGTTGCTTACTTTCAGTGGCTGTGCCAGAAGCAGATGAACTGTCTGTATCATCTGCGTGGAAGCCATAGTTGGCGTGGTACGTTGCCAGGAAATCTTCTGTTATCTGAAAAGAAATTAGGAAAATGAATCCAATGTTTCAATGAAATACAAATTAAGGTTTCTAAGTGTTTTAATGTTAGTGCATTGATGATGGCCATTTTCTAATCCGGCAGCACAGAAAATAACAGCATTTAAAAACTATTTTTGAATCATCTTTGTAAAGCCATGTGCAAAACAAAACAAATCAGTGCAGGCATAACTGAACTAGACTAACATTCTAATTCCATACAGCACATGAAGTTTTTAAACAAATATTTCACAAGTTCTGCCTTTTTTCAAGCAAAGCTTTCTGCTTCCAACATCAATTGGATCTGCCTGAAGGACAAAAACCAAGCACTTCTGACCATGTTGAAGAGATTAAGTGACACTGAAGGTAAGCCAGGGACTTATTCACAGATGATGAACGACTGACATTTGTAAGCGTCTGCCTTTTCATAGAAACATTTTCAGAGCTGACATATGTTTGTGTTGACAGACAGTAAATATTGCACTTAGAGGCTTATCTTAACACACTGTTTATAAAGCCATGTACTCTACTTTATATCCTACTAACGGATAGATAATTGCCTCGCTCTTTCTCTAGAGAGAATGTATTTGGGTAAAATATATATTGGCTAGTGTCTATCTTTTAGAGACCAAACCAAAAACACTCTACAAATTACACCTGATATTTCCAGCCAGGAAAATTTTAGTACTAGCCACTAGCAATAACATGCAAAGACGTGTTCTATATGCATATTATTGCATGTTTATAATATACATCGTAGAGGATTTTGCTAGCATCACTGCACTATGAAGTACTTTCGGAAGTTTTACACTCTGAAATTATTTATTCCAAAAGCTGAGCCTTAACCTTCAAAAATTTTACCTGACTGCACTTTAGCTGCACTGGCCTCATCTGTATTCAAAAGGTAACAAAACTTACTGTTATTAAGCTATTTTAAGAGAGCAGCACGGGGGACAGTAGTGTCAATGTTACCAAGGCAATCTCCTATCTTCTGTGGTGATTTGAAGTTTGACGTTTCAACTCTAAGCTCTTATTATGACAAATCAAAAATGCTAAATTGACAGCAACGGTCTTGTCATGAATAACACGAGATGTGTGCAGCCCTACTGAGCTTTAAAGTTTGGCATGAAATAGCTCCTATGTAAAACAAGATTTGCAACACACCTTGATCAGGAATGTAAGTGGCTGCTCTCACAGACATGAGGTAACACAATGTCAAGAGAAAGGAAGAGTGCAAGTGAAGAAAAGAATACTCTGTGTTCTAATAACATTAATTATATTTGACAACTGCAATCTTAACAAATCCTTAACATCACAGCCAGTGAAATCCAGAGAATTAAGCTTTTAAACTCTGTGGTGAACAATATTACTCATTTTCGTCAGAGAAACTACTGACAAATTAGTGCTTAAACCTGTGACAACGAGCCACCTTCCTGCAGCAGTATTTTTTTTCGACTTCAGGTGGAACCACATTCTCACGTAAAGCTAAATTTATTCTTAGCAAATTACCTACCACGGACTGTCAAATTTTGCTAGTCACATTCTCATGTAAAGCTAAATTTATTCTTAGCAAATTACCTACCACGGACTGTCAAATTTTGCTAGTCAATAGCAAAGATTTTTTTTTTCCAATAATATGCCACCATTCCGTCATACATCCCAGCATGACTACTTAATTTTAAAATGCATATTTGCAAGCATAAATGAATTTACACAAGTATACAGAATTTCTTATTTGGGACTTCAATCCAGTTCTAAGGCTTTTATTGGTACCTATGTCATACCACGCCTCACAAAAATTTCTTATTTGGGACTTCAATCCAGTTCTGGTGGACAACATCACAGAAGGAGATCAGTTCTCTCTCCATACCCACACAGTTGTGCAGTTTGGGGCAATTAAGCTTATAGGAAAAGAAATACAATACTACAAGACATGCTAGCATCTAATTAACTACTGGTCACACTGAAATGGAAAGGAATAGATTAACCAAATGAAGAACAGATACCCTAGGCTTACAGACATCCAACGGCTGGTTTTTCCTAGTAAGTGATGAAGGAAGGCAGATAAATTCAATATGTAATTTTCTGCTATGTTTGTGAAGGACTATCAAAGGTTGGTCTCCATCACTACAGTACCATTGAAAGAAAAATAATTAAATAATACATGAAGTGGCAATCACTTTTATTAAATACTTGAATTTTCCAAATTTTTCTGAGGAATGTTGACAGTTAATATCATCAACTTTTTGCACTACTTGGAAATGTGCTTAGAAGACACCCAGCAGCTACTCTATTCCCAAAGTGGAGTAGCAGTGCAACACTGGGCTGGAGATGAGGATTAGTTAGGCCAGTCAGAATATTTTAATCTTTTGTCAGAGAACAGGGATAAGGAATTTTATTAGTGCTCATGGAGTAGAGGAAGAGCTACAACTTCTGACTCCCGTGGTCTCTTAAATCTCTTTTGACAAAATACTCATTGAATAACCATCAGCAAAATGAAGTAACCTGAGATACTGCGATATCTAACTCAGTGACCTATCTATAACACAGAGAGCTTCACAATGATTCTTTAACAACTTCTACTAATGAACTTTGCCCTTCCTACATAATCTGTCCAACCCTTAACATTGTCTCCTTTCCGAGATGGAAATTTAAGATTTAAGTAAGGCATTTAGGAAAAGATCAACGTTCCTGAGAAGAAGAGAGAAATAAAAAGAAATCATAATTAAAAAAAAGAACCCCTTTAAAAGTTACTGTGCTTATTGGATATAGCACTCCCCCAGGAGCCAGGGGTATTGAGTTCTCCGCTGCTCCACTTTCTGAGTCCAGATTTTTCACATGTTTTTACCCCTCCGTAAGCCACCTGTTAAATGGACACCCTACTAGGTTTACACACATATAAACCTGGTACTACAGGCTTCATTCTCACTCAGATTCTCCGAACTGTAATTAATTCAGAGCCACAAATAAGAACAACTCATTAAGGCACACTACTTTTATGAAGTTCATGCTACAAAATGTCTTAATGTTTGTCAATTAAGTAGTAGCCCTCACTCATTGGTATATAGTAACAGAACTACTATTCCCTTGCAGATCATAAAATGGTTTGGGCTGGAAGGGACCTTAAAGATCATCCAGTCCCACCCCCTGCCCTGGGCAGGGACACCTCCCAACGGATCAGGTTGCTCCAAGCCCCATCCAGCCTGGCCTTGAACCCCTCCAGGGATGGGGCAGCCACAGCTTCTCTGGGCAACCTGGGCCAGGCTCTTACCACCCTCACAGCAAAGAATTTCTTCCTGAGATCTAATTCATCCTGAAATCTCCCCTCTTCCAGTTTGAAGCCACTCCCCCTCACCCTATCACAACAAGCCCCTGTAAAAAGTCCCTCCCCAGCTTTCCTGTAGGCCCCTTCAGATACTGGAAGGAGCTGTTATAAGGTCTCTCTCCCTGGAGCCTTCTCTACAGATCAGCGCATTGAATTTATGTTCCTTCTCATCATCAAGAGCCATGTTGTTATAGCAAGTTCATTTTCTATACTTCAAATACCTAATTAAAAAAAAAAAAAAAAGACAAAAACCCAAACAAAATGAAAAACTATAGCATGTTTTCATCCTGTGGAAAGCCTCTAAGCCAAATACACTTAGTTTTCAAGTGAGTTTCAAAGACCTAAGGAGAGGGAACACGACGTTTTAATACATGCATCATTTTCAGATAATAACAGAAAACAGATATACCACTCCATTTTCATCTAGACCTTTTAACAGCTTAGTTCACTTCTTCACTCCCCCCAGAAAGACAACTCCTGGGATAAAAAAACCTAAACGTGTCCCCAGCAGGGCCGATCCGTTAGGGATCCCCAAATATAACCGTGACTTCATCCCAGGCCCGAGCAATCCTACACGCTGACAGCCAAGGAGAAAAGCCAACCCACGGCTCCTCACAACAAAAGAGCAGAAAGTGGCCGGTTGGGTTACAGACGGAGCCAAGGCCGTGGTTCTGCCGGTAAAACGGCGTTTTCAGCCCCACGGGGACTTCGCACATCTCTTTGGCCGCATCCAGACAAGCGAGACACCCCCCTGCTGAAGAGCCCCAACACCAACCCTTCTCGTTTCTCACCCTTCCTCGGGGTGGGGGGGAGGAAACTTCGGGCGGAGGGAGCGGCCTCCCCGCCACAGAGGGCCGCAGCCAGGCGAGGAGGCCGCTCCTCACACCGGGAAGGGGGCAAACCGGGCCCGCCCCCCTCATGGAGCACCGCAGCCGCCTCACC